CCTCACCCTAACCATACTGTATCGACATACACATAACATATAAAATATAACAGTAACAGATAAACATATAACCAGTCAATCAGACTAAAATGCAGATCTACAGATCATTATCGTATAACAACATCCTCTATACCAGGACTTAGTACTAACAGATCAATACAACATCACAACATCCTCTAAACCAGGACACATAACCCAATGGGCCGGCATTGGTGCCTTCGGCCCACAAGTACCGTGAGGAAAACTTACCTCTCAGTCCGAACAAAAAGTTGAATAGGTCTCTGCTCCGAATCTCAACTCTACCCGTCATCTATTCATCAAATAGTGACCAATATCAAATACAACTCAAAATACCCAAATTACCCTTAGGTAAAACATGGACAAATCCTTGTCAAAGTCAATAAGTTAAACCTGGTCAACACAGCTGAGTACGCCCAACATACTCAGCTTGTACGCTTAGCGTACTCGAGCTTGACCAAAAACGGGCTGGCTGACCTTGTACGTGTGACATACCTGGGTTACGCCCAACGTACGCAATGGATTCCTTTCCTTTCTTATTAAGATCTTAATCCTTAATCTCTTTTGTCCAAATTCAATATATAGCCCTCAAATAATGTCTTTAACCATAAAGTTTCCAACTTGATGATCTTGCCTGGCTATTAAGTGCCCAATAACAAAACCATAACTTTCTAACTCATTAAAACATTATAACCCATGCATGGAAGGAAACTAACAATCAAGATTGCATTTTTATGGCCCTAGATATTCCAAAACGTCTGGAAGGACAATCCATTTTGGATCTAGAGCATACCATACTCAAGAACACCATTGATTGGGGACAAAATCACACAATAACATCATACAAGCTAGATTTAACCAAATAAGCATCAAGGTATGAACTTTATACCTTCTATAGATGTAGGAGGGTGCAAAACCTCCAGATCCAAGGTTGTTCCAAGCTTCCAAGTTGTTCTCTTTTACTTCTTCTTCCTTTATGAACACTAAAACACACACAAATGGTACAAGAATGCTCAAAAACGAATTAGGGTTTGTAAAAGTCGAAGTTAGGGCTGGAGGTTGATGAAAGAAGGAAGATCTGGGACTTAAGGATGTTTAAATAGGGTCTAAACCCTAAATTTTAGGGTTTGGGATTTTGGCACGTACGCCCAACATACTCAAGCTGGCTCCAAAATTACAAAAATGCCATAAGGGGTCAAAATGCAATAATTCTCATATCAAGGGTTAAAAATGGAAATACCTAAATATCAAGATGTTATAGTTAGAAACTTTATGGATTATAAGGGTATTTTAAACATCATATTGTCTAGATTTGGAAGTTGGTGAGGTATTGGAAGTCATGCATGAGAGTTTTGTGCAGTATTACTACCTTGTACTTAGAATGGATTGGGACATGCATGGTGCATACATGTAGATAAAGTAAACATTTTTATGGACCTTTAGGGTCTATTTTAAGCTCCTGGAAGTGCTGGTTTTGAAGGCTTATTGGATTAAGGACTTAAAACCTTAGATTTTGGCTTCAGACCATAGTCACGACGTGAAACATAAGGTCTCACGACATGAAGATGAAAAGCCCGTTTACCGCTGAGATTTTAGAACTCACGATGTAAGAGTGTTTCTCACGTCGTGAGGTCAGTCCAATGAGAAATCTGTGACTGAGCTAGCTGAGTCGAGAACGAGTTGCGAGAATCGGACTGGGTGCTGGCTGAGTCTCACGACGTGACCAAGGGCTGGTCACGACGTGAGACTCAATATTAGGGTTTTTGACCGCTGAATTTGACTATAGGCAGTTGGGAAGAGAAGCATAGGGTATACTTGAATTCAGTTGCCGATTCAGCCTTGTGAGGTGAGTCTTCTCACCATACCAATGGGTCTAAGGCAACAAGGCCGGTCCATTTTGCGATAGTTGGTTTACTTGTTATGTAGAGATGTGATATGTATTTGTGCATGATATGTGGTAGAGTTAGCCTTTGTGGCTAACGGTAGAGATAGCCGTATGGCTAATGGTAGAGACGACCTTATGACCAATGGTAGAGACAACCTTTATGGCTGATGGTAGAGATAGCCTTTGTGGCTAACGGTAGAGATAACTTCATGGCTAATTGACCTGTGATATGTGGTAGAGGTAGCTTTATAGCTAATATGATATGTGGTTTGTGTGGGGTATGCTCTGGGGGACTCACTAAGCTTTCAGCTTACCGTTTGTGGATTTATTTCAGGTACATCGGAGTCCAAGGGTAAAGGCAAGGCGTGATGATGCGCCGTGCACTCTATCTCTCTTTTTCGATCTGGTTTGGGGGACACTCTGATGTTCTGAAAATAATAATGTTGTAATGTTGATGGTTTTGAAAACGATTATTAGAATCTTTATGTTTTATGAAAATGGTTGACTAATTAAAAATGAAAAATTTTATCCGGTAAAATTGGGTCGTTACAGTTCCAAATCAAAAAGAGGATGTGCACGATCACGCCTTCGCTTTTCCACGGTCATCCGAATGCACCAATGCCGACCTATTGGATTATGTTTATAGGATGCTAGCTGTCTTTGTGACTTTTGCATGTAATTGTATGTATGTTTGGGGGGGGGGGGGGGGGGCACTGCATGTGTTGGACGGGGCCCACTACATGTTATTGACAGATCTGTACTGGGCGGGGCCCGATGCTGGGAAGAGCTCGATGGACGCCAGACGAGGCCTGATGTATGTATGGTATGTGGTATTTTGGGGAAACTCGCTAAGTTTTGTGCTTACCGTTTATGTTTATGGTTTCAGGTACCTCCGATTCAAAGGGAAAGGGCCTGAAATGACCGCATCGCATACACCAGTGTTTTGCATTCTACGATTTTGATTTGTATTCTGATAACTATTTTCTACATTGTCACACTTTGATTGGCTTATGAAATGAATGTTTGATGGTCTTGGTTGATTTAAAAAAAAATTACTTAGTATTTTTGGGATGTTACATGTTTCCTTTTAAATTTTTTTCCGATAATCTAATCAAATACATAATTAAAGAAAATACATAAACTAGTCGATTTAAAATTCAAAATTTTCACCAAACACACAAAATTAATAAAATCACATAAACGTTTACTTCAAAATATAAGCAATCATGTAACCTTTTATGATAAACAAAATAATTAACAAATAATAACAAAAAAAATATATCACAAAAATAACATTGAAACAACAACATAAAGTCGCTTCAAATACAAAATAAAAAACAAAATCATTCTTAAAGTTAAATCAAAGCATGTGAATATTTATTAAACACGAACAATAAACCATTAAAATTGCCCAATGAAAACATTTACACATAAGAAATTGAATTAGAATATCGAATCAGAAACACTAAAACTAAGGCATAAACAAATTGCCTGCTGATTTTAGTAGCTAACAACACAACAAATTCTTGTGATTCATTCATGAAATATGTTCACCACCAAATTCTTATGATTCATCATCCAATTCGTTTCCTCTAGTTCCTTTACAATCAGAATACCCATTTTTTTTAATTTGTTCATCTTTATTATTTTATGTATTACATTTGTAATGATAAAGTTCATAAAGAAACACATCAAGTGGTGCCTTTGATGGGTTTCTTGAATACTCTTCATCGTTGTCATCAAACTCATCATCGACCACAAAGGTTGGGTCTCCTTCATAGTTTTCTGCATCCAAGTATCTATCTTCAAATTCTAAGTCATATTCGTCTAGAGTCTGAGTCTTTGTAATTGTCATTGTCATTGTAATTAGTCGAAAGTTAATAGAAATTTACTTTTGTTCACCAAACACACTTCAAACATTCAATACATTTCAATTATGGTCTTCAATAGATAATAATGCAATTTCACGATCGAACAGTCTTTGATGTGTGTCCCTCTCCAATTCATGATCGCACTCACTAGCCAATCTTTAATTGAATGAAGTGGACATTTAGAATTGAACTAGGTGTATGCTTGCTTTAAAAGAGATGTTTTTTTTATCCATGTAAGTAATGAGTCAAAGAATAGTAGATTAAGGTTGACTCAGAGAGACAATTGAATAAACAATTATTTGGTCAAACACTTAACAAAAATTAAAAAATAGGATGTTTAGTTTAGAACAAAAAAATAATTGTGAAAATCAAGGAAAAAACAAAAACTTATTGTCTTTTATATCATCTACCTCTAAAAATATTATATTTTATAGTATTAAAGGAAAGAAATCGATAGTTTGTTTTATTAAAGGATAAAATGAAGTATGATGCATAATTTTTTTGAAATAACAAAAATAAATTGTATATTTTTTATATTTAGCCCCTAAAAAATATTGTTTTAAATAAAAAGCAATGTTTTAAAAACCGGTTTTTTAGTTGAACCGGTATGGTGACCGGTTTGCGGTTCAACCGGTTTAATCGGTTTGACCACCGGGTCAACTGGTTTCTATAGTTTTCATGTTTTTTCCTATTTTCCTACACATACATACATATATAAATCATGAATTTGATATTTTCAAATTCAAACATTAAAAATACACATAAAAATAAGTTGTAGATGAATCCAAATACATTAAAATAACATATAACCATAAGTTTTAGTGTTTTACATCAATCTATATACGTCAAAAAGAAAATAAAATATAATACCATAACGAAATATAGTTTAAATGAATACAAACACATTAAAAAACTTTATAACATTTATCATATCTTTTTATTTAGAGAAAACTAAATAGATATAAAAAAATCACCAAAGTTTATTATGTAAATTGTTTTTTTTCATGTTTTTATTCGGTTTAACCGGTTTATTTTGACCGGTTCAACCAGTTTTTTCTAAAAATCGGTTGGTTCAATCCAGTTCAGAAATCAATATAAACCGGTGATAGTTGAAAGGCTCACTCCTCCGGCTCCCGGTCCAACCGGTTCAACCGCCCGGTTCAAATTTTTAAAACATTGATAAAAAGTGTCCGTTTTTACATTTGTAACACTCAATATATGAGTGGAAGTGGAACTGTTAGGAAATCGAAACGTTGACCACTTGAGAGCGATATACAGAGGGGCTGTCGGTGGCAGAGACTCGACGGGAAAGGGAGTCGCGGAAATTGCTTCTATATCAGAGTTGTTGACCAAATACGTGTATCTGCACCGGCACCTACGTATCTGAAGCGGCAGTGACGGCGGTGGTCGTGGTGGCGGAATAGTTGTGTGTGCAAGTCTATGGCGTATAGGAGACGTCAAGGATTCGCGAAGGATTCGACCTCTGCGGAAGAATTTAGAATTCCTAACCCTGATTCTAGACGTCACAGTTCTCCGACTTCGCTAGAAGACGGTTCATCCTCATCTGCCGCCGCGTCGGCTACACCGTCTCTTGCAGCTAAAGCGATCAGAGCGTCATCCGCCAACCGTGACTCTGCGCTCTCTTCGGCTTACGGTCAACCCGCTATTTCACCAAGGACCGCCAAGTCGAATCCACTTCGATCTTCTCAGTCCTCTACTCCCAAGGTCCTCTCTTGTTCTGTACCTAATTGTATCATTTCTTGGGCATTTCTTGTGTGTTTTGATTTCTCTGTTTTATATGCTTTTGATAAAAAGCTTCAACTTTGATTGATATGATTTGTGCAAACAATCCTCCCATTCAAAAAGAAAGTCAAATGGGGTACTATTCAATTCCAAGATCTATGTGGATTAATAGACATGTAATTTAATTTTCACAAGTTAAATAAAACTTTATCTTCTGCTAACAAACAATAACAATCGATGAATAGAAAGAACAAATAATGATAATGGGAGTGCTAAAGTTAAATTGCAGCAAATTCACAAAAGCTTCTTTTTGGAGTTCCCATTTACGTGTAATAAGTTAAGTTGAACCCGAGAATAAAAGCATTACAAGCAAAGTTCCATAGTAATTACTAATTAGTCTGCTTGCTTAATATCATAATTAAGAAAAAAGAAAAAGAAAAGTGCAATTAAAAATATCAAAGCAAAGAATGATGTGAACATGTTGTTATTGTCCAACTTGAGTGTATGCATAGCATATGGTGTTTGAAGTGAACATCTTGTGTGATTTGATGAAGTAACAAGTGTCCATGCTGTTATAGGATGATTCCATTAAAAATGACTACACATCAATGAAGAATTTGGAAAAACCCAAGCCTGGATTTTGGGGTGGTTTGGCTAGAAAAGCTAGGTCTATCATCGAAGATGATGATGAACCTCAACAATACGAAACACCAGAAAGGAGGAGGCAGCAAATGTCAGATCCCAAGGTAATTATGATTAGATAATATATATAGAAGAAATGTTTCTAATTTTTAATGCTAAGTTTATCATGATACATACCATTATTATTATTATTATTGTCTTTTTCAGAATTCTAATCAGCACCAGTTCCCAGAAAGTCATGAAAAAACAGACAATCCCGGATTCCAGAAGGGGTTAGGAGCTATTGCATCATCTCTTAATTACATTGGTAATGCTCTTGAGGTAAGTTTCTACTATAAATAATAACCCCCCATTTGAAAAATATTTAGCATGTAGCTTGTTTTTGTCTTTTAGGAGGGCAGAACAATTGTGGAGAACAAAACTGCAGACATAATTCAAGAAACACGCAAACTACACGTAAAGAAAAAGAGTGGCATCATCCCTGATCAAACTCAAACTCTAACTCAAACTTCAAATAAGCAGTTACAGCCTCCTCAACCCTTGCCACAGACTGATGTAGAAATTCAACTCAAGGCATCTCGCGACGTAAGGTGGCAACCTGGTGTACCTAATCAAACAATCATTAATATGGAAATTGGAACCTGTTTTTATATACATCAAATTCAAAACTGGTTTGGTTGGTAATAATAATATAAGATACATGATATGGCTTTTCGGTTTTCCTCACACAGGTTTCAATGGCAATGGCTGCAAAAGCAAAGCTTCTACTTCGGGAACTTAAAACTGTTAAGGCTGATCTTGCTTTTGCAAAGGAGCGTTGTGCTCATTTAGAAGAGGAAAATAAAATACTCAGGGAGACTGGTGGAGATGGAGACAACCAGGAAGACGATGATTTGGTATGTTATGTCTGTTTGTTTTAAAAACTATAATAGAAACAAATCTTTAAGTTTGTAATTTTGTCTTTGTAATATGTGAATCGACGCATGACAACTTTACTACTTTACACTTGAAGCCAAAGTTTAATCTTTTTTAGATGCTATAAATAATGATTATAAAATTTCCCACCAGAGCTCTGCATCCCCATTTGGAATGAGATCAGGCTCAGTGCATGTGAGCATGTGACTGAAATATTATATTATTAGGCATCAAATTGTCTTTTTCCTGTCCCTTGAGGATTGCAACTTGCTAAAATAAGAATGTACTTTTGTTTATTGTAGCATGTTACTTTCATTTCTTTCTATAACAACATTGTACTTTTCCAAATCTATCTAATTGGATAGATTTTTAAAAGTAGGATCCTATAATTGGGTAGATTATTGAAGTACAATAATAATACAATGTTGTGATTGATAGAAAGAAATGAAAGTAAGAGTAAGATGGAATATGTTATGTATAATATTAATAAGTAGATAATGAAAGAAAATATATGTATTGTTGCAGATACGGCTACAACTGGAGTCGCTTTTAGCAGAGAAAGCTCGGTTGGCACAGGAGAATTCAGTGTATGCAAGGGAAAACCGGTTTCTAAGAGAGATTGTTGAATACCACCAACTCACAATGCAAGATGTTGTTTACATTGATGAAAACAATGAACAAGTATACCAACTCCCAATCGACAATCTATCATCAACACATGATTTGCAACTGCAATCAATCATAATACCAACTTTACCCTCAACCCCTCCCAACACAAACTCACAGATACAATATCTTTCTCCCAAGACTCCCTTCGCCCCGAATACTCCTTTTATGTAAATAAACCATTTTGCACCTATTTCTTTCACATTTAGCTTCTTTTTTACTTACTTTTTCTTTTTGAGAAAAATTTGCTGTTTGTGAAATGTTGTTTTTGTAAAATCGTGACTTGTTGCTATCATATTGTTTTGTACATGTAAATGTAATTTTTATGTTTTGAATCGATTTTTTTTTTTGGTACGTTTGAATCATTTTATTTTGTATTTGCTAAGGGGTAGTTTAGATGTTTGACTATTGTTAAAGATTTTTGTTCAACTGTATGTAGGTGTTCGAGTGTTATCTATTTCGGAGCCAAGGTTTATATATATTTGGTGAAATATTCTATTTTTTTTTTATAAAGTTCCAACTAAAATTCATAGTCCATAAAACACGCATCATAAGGGTTACTAAATGAATGGAGGTGATAATTTGTAATTAGGTTAATTTGTTAAAGCTAAGGATGAAATAAGTAACCTGAAATAGAAACGGGTAATAAGTTCCCTGCATTATGCTAAATTATTAGTGCACGCAGTATTCAAAATTGATTCATCCATAAAGTTAGATGTCATGTATTTTGTATCTTTTTATATTCACACTTTAACATATTTATTATTTATATGAAAACAAACAAACAAAAAAAAGGGGTAATTCTAACCGCACGAATTAAATTCCAAATGCACGAATTTTTGATTGACTTGATGTACATCACCGGAAGTTTTGACAGTTTTTAATATATTAAACTAAATCAATGTTTACTTTACAATTTTCATTAAATGCCCTTATATTTATAGTTGATTTTCATATCATACCTTATACTTTTTGAAACTTTAGCTTTTATATATATATATATATATATATATATATATATATATATATATATATAGGTAAGAGTTATATGGAAAATGAATACAAGAAAGATAGTAGAGAGATTTGATTGTATTTTATTAAAACTATATTGTTTTTAATGGATCTATACCTAATATTAGGTACATAACAGCCACATATTCCTTAAGCCTTATAATTAATGAAATTAAAGGCATTTAATAATTAATGAAAGTTATTAATTTATGTTTATTTTTTATTTATTTTATTATTTAATGGTTTTAGTCTTGAACATCTCTCTCTCTCTCTCTCTCTCTCTCTATATATATATATATATATATATATATATATATATATATATATATATATATATATATATATATATTAGAAACATCAGAATCGCACATATATAACAATTTTGTTTTAATTTATACAGATCTTAATAATTATAAACAACAAAACATAAATTTGATTTTACTAATTATCAGATATTATAACTGTAGAATTGTTACAATTATTGTGTGTTGCAAATGGAGAAATGTAGGAATTCAGGCGAGCAGCATAAACAGTTTCCCATCCAGCAGACCGTGATGATCTGTTGTGACGCCAAAGTGGTAAAATAGTAGGCATTGGATATCCTCCATGTAAATCAACCTTCACATAATGATCACCTCTAACAAGAGCAATAACAACAACTCTATGAGTTGAGATGTCTTGGGGACCAAGCCATAGTGGAAAACATGTTGACGGACTATCTTTGCTTAGAAAAATAACTATTACATTATACTTGTTAGCAATGAGAAAGCTAGTGACCGGCATAATCAACCAATGATCTGTTGGTGCGAAATGTGATCCATTGAAATTCAATGAGTGGTGTATGGTGTTTAAATCGTAATCAAAATCTGTGCGTACTCAGCTGGGTGTGCTAACAACTCATTCTGTAAATCTAAGCGGATTTGACGCCAATTATCTTCACTATAACCGAGACACGCAGCTATTGCACGAAATCCACAATTTCCATCTCCCCTCACGTTTTGTATGTTGTGACATATGGATGAAATTCATACGGAATTTCATTCATAAGTGGATCTGAATTATACATTACTTGTTCTTGGTTGAAGTACGAGCTATGCATCGATTGTTCCTGATTAAAAGTTGAGTTGAACATTGGAGGTTCTCGGAACGAGTACGTACTGTGCCTATCCGGCTCCTGGTTTAGATCAAACAAATTAGACCGCATATAATCAGGCGTATAAGTAGAAATGCTACGTCGAGACGGATATTGAGTTGGTGGCGCTTGAGTCGGTTGATCTTGAGGTGGTGGATGTTGAGTTGGTGGGTCATGGTTTAAATCGATATGGGTTTTCTTGAAAAGTTTCTTCTTTAAGGAGGGGCGCCCACGAGTATTTTTGTGAGTAGCAGGTTCAGAAACTGAAGTTGTTGACGGCGTGATTAAGTTTAGTAACTTCCTTGCTAAACTTAACTTAACAGGTCTTGATTGTTTTTCGTAATGAGCATTAAACATATTTACCTCAACTGCACAACCCAATTTATCATCTTCTAACGATTTGCATTCTAATAAATCAAGTTTCTTCCAAAACTTATCTACTGAATGAAGCGGTACACAATGACCTTTTTTAACAAATATAGCTTGTTCATGCGCACATGGCAGCCCATAACTTGTACGTACTTGACATCCACAATTTTCATAAACAAATCCAAATTCTTTGGACCGCTCATATTCTTTGAAAATGATATCAAGTGCATAAATTGAAACGAAACGACACAATGGTTTTAGATGTGGTATTTCGTAGTACCGATGTACAATGAAAATTTTGTTATGCGCAAGACTCGCTTTTATACCTGTGTATTGTGACTCAACAACATCAGCAATACGCTTCAATGATTTGGCGATATCTGATCTTGATGTTTCGACATATCTTTTTAACTTGGCATGTTGACTTTCAGCTCTATTAGTTGTGTGATTGCCAAAGTTAAGAAACTTATCGGTCCATGCAGACACAAACTTTTCTTTGTGTGGTGTCAACCATGTTTTGTTTAGATAAGAAAATGCATCTGAAATACATAAAAAATTTCAGTTGATGTAATGATTTATAACATATTATAGTGTATATTTAAAAATACCTGGATAATTGTTCGTAGTTTTTTCAACTTGTGCCAAATTCTTGTTGTATGCTTCCTTTGTTTCAGAGTTAACCAACCTCGTCCATGACGTATAAAGAACATCCCAACATGATTTGCATTTCTTCATGATATTGTTATTTATATGCCATCTGCAAAGTAATCCTTTAGCATCTGGAAATATAATAGTGTATGCGTTCATGAGAGCCATCTCTATCAGTCACAATAACACGCGGCAACATACATCCTTCCATTACCGATTTTAGACAGTCTAAAGCCCAAACATAGTTGGATTGTTTTTCTTCATGCATGTACACAAATGCAATGGAAAATGTCATATTTGTTGGAGTTACACCAACAATCTCCAATAGAGGCATCCCGTACTTGTTTGTTTTATATGTTGCATCCATTAACAAGACATGTGGAAATGCACGCCATATTTCTAATGATCTTGGATGAGCAAAGAATAAATCTTCTAACTTATTTGTCAAAACATTTGCACGACTATAATAAACATATCCATTTTGATCTAGAAATTCCATAACACCTTGCATTTGAGTTTTACCTTCTCTCTCCCTACGTCGAAGTTTTTCGTCTGCATTGTAGATAGTTTTGAGAGTAGATACATTTTTCGGATTTAGGTTTTTTAGTGCAGATAATATATCTTTTGGTTTGACATTTTTTTTCAACAAATCTTCCACTATTCGACATTCATATTCAGTTAGTCGTCGTGGATAAGGATGACCTTCTAAATATAATGACGGCTCATGGTTATGAAATTCACATATCATTTTTATCTTCCAAGAATTATCTACTGACGAATATTTACCCTGTAGGCTAAATGGACAATTAATTTTTTTTGTCCCTGTTTTTTTTTTGGAGATTTGTGTACTTTTGTATGTACCTCCACGGTCACATTGAAATACAACATTAAAGTTACGTTTAGAATTTTTTATGACGATGACATAACCTAAAGTATTTGCCATATTTTGCACCCAATCCATCAATTCTTGACGAGAATTGAACACCTGACAATTATATTATTATCAGTAGCAGACAAATCCACTTGATGCTTACATTACAGTAACAACATACTAATGAATTTATACCTTATTTGTTTTGAAGGGTGACGTGTCATCAAAGAAATAACGACTTTCGTTCAAACTTTCATTTTCATATGTTTCATTTGTGTCCATTGGATGAATATCCGTTTCGAATGGTGATGTGTCGTCGAAAAAATAGTTACTTTCATTGAAGCTATTATTTTCATCTATTTCATTTGTCTCCATTGGATGAATATCATCTCTCTAAACATAACAAAGAGAAAAAAATATATAATAATAATAATAATAATAATAACAATAATAATAATAATAATAATAATAATAATAAGAAAGGTTAAGTACAAATACCTCATAATATGTGTCACCCATCCATTTTTTCCAACTTGTCATTTAATAAAATCTATATTTTTAACAAATATCATATATTTGCTTTTAAGGAAAGTTACTTTCAGCAAGTCGTTTTCAATGTACCATATAAGAAATACGAATCCTCTATATATAGAAAGAAATTGTAACCAAATTTTTATTTTTATCCCTTCTATTTTTGTTAATGTTTCATAGTTTATATTTCTTATTTAACAAATTAATTTTTTTCTATTAATATTTAATAATATTCATTATTACTTTTTTTATAAATGTATTCATGAGATCATTTTAATTAAACAACTTTTATGAATAATTAATATGTTTCTACTTGTTAGTTTTCAAAATTAATAAAGTTTTAAGGGTTTAAGATTTAAATTGATAAAATCTAGGGTCTTTTCTAAAACTACAATGTAAACCGAAGGTATAAAATTGTAATATTATATTTTATCGATAAAATAATTCGGCACACATATTAATCGGCACACATATTTATCGATAAAATAATTCGGCACGCAATTCAATGCAACAAATACACGAAAAATTCGTGTATATAGGAGGACCCAAAAAAAGTTGTTTGTAGGTCGATATAATTTGACTCGACTAGTTATAACATGTTACCCATCTTATTCAACCAGTGCATTCTGTCAGCAACTGGATTTATTACTTGATGTGGTCGTGACATACAATCATTCAGCTACTGCATCTTATCTCAAATTTTCATTCAGTAAGGTGGCAT